AGAGACATAGTCGTGCCGTCTTAAGATTTCGTACTTTATTCGCATTGTTATAAGACACACTTTTCTTGGTTACTGTTAAAGCGTAGAACCTTCTCGAACGGTCACGTTTGTGTCATTAGCTAATTGGTCTGAGAGACATAGTCGTGCCGTCTTAAGATTTCGTACTTTATTCGCATTGTTATAAGGCACACTTTTCTTGGTTACTGTTAAAGCGTAGAACCTTCTCGAACGGTCACGTTTGTGTCATTAGCTAATTGGTCTGAGAGACATAGTCGTGTCGTCTTAAGATTTCGTACTTTATTCGCATTGTTATAAGACACACTTTTCTTGGTTACTGTTAAAGCGTAGAACCTTCTCGAACGGTCACGTTTGTGTCATTAGCTAATTGGTCTTAGAGACATAGTCGTGCCGTCTTAAGATTTCGTAATTTATTCACATTGTTATAAGACACACTTTTCTTGGTTACTGTTAAAGCGTAGAACCTTCTCGAACGGTCACATTTGTGTCATTAGCTAATGCTTAAACACATAGATTTTTATATTCATCCATTGATTGATTTTACTGTACAAATTAATTTAATGTTTTTTTTTATTATATTGCGTCGATAGACGTTTTGATCTTTAACAAAGAATGAAAATTTCCTCTCGATAAATTCGGATATCAAAGAAGCCAACTGGTATGGAAAAAAAAAACAGTATAAAGAATGACAAAATTTACAAAAAAATATAAACAAACACATCAATATCTACCTACGCATCGAGAAGTTAAGAAACAGTTTTGTATTGTCGGAAGGGAGACAAACATATGTGGCGTGTACGTGTCGTGACGAGGATTAATTAAAATGTAATGATCGTTAAACGAAAAGAAAAAACTAACGTTAAAAACCAAAACAGAGGCCGGTCAACATCGGTGGTGTTTAGACCGAATTGATTTAGTTATTTTAGTGAGATACGAAAGAATGAGTCGCCAATTATTTGAAATTGTTGTTTTAAATGCGGCAACACCGACGAAAAACGCTGTAGCAACACCGAACAAAATGCAATGTGAGATATAAAATTTAGTCACTGAACGACATATGCTGTGAATAGCATTCTATTGATCATGAGTTTCATATCTTATGATCAGCTCAGGAAAACATAATCGAGAATTACATGAGGCCGTCAGCACAAAAGTGGTCTACAATTTTTTATATTCAAGCTTATATGTATATTGGAATTTAATTAAAATATAATAAATTTTGATGCAAAACCGGCCTATTCATAGTTTCACCCATAAATAACAGATAGCTTTGTAAGCATTATTTTTGCGCGTATTGTTTTTTGCCTACTCAAATTTAAGTTCATGAAAATTCAAACCTAATTGCCTTCTTACTAACCATGGTAAGCTCAGGCCACTTTTGCGCTGACGGCCTCATATATAAAATAAATAAAAAAAGTTATACGTAGTTGTTTATAGTGTTATTATAAAAAAGCAAATCTCTCATTGCAAACCGTTCTTTATATTAGTTTTAAAAACATGATTAAGTACACTTTGAGCGATCACTTTTACCAATTAAAAAAAAGAGGAGTCTGTACAATCGATTGAATGTATTATTTTTATGTATGTTCACTTCCTTCTCCGTCATTTGTATATTGATTTTCAAATTTTTTTTTTATTGAAAGAGTGTACTTCCGAGTCCCATTGTTAAGTTTAATTAATGAATTTTAATTATTGAATATTGAAATCACTTTTAATTAAAAAACATTACAAATTGTACTACCTTAAAATAATTTTATTTTCAATATTACCCTAAACAGCGACTCATCACAAAGTGTACTTTACCAAGTGTCCTGCCACCGATGGCCAGCAAGGCTGTGTGCAAGACCCACCTGGCTTCGGTGTCGCTCATGAGCGATATGTGACAGTTCCAGCCGGACTCCAAACCCATCTTTTCGCTGAACACCCTCGACCGGAGCTCGTTCTCCTTGCTGAAGTGGACGAAGCGTATGCAGGCTCGCTCTAGCCGCTCTATCAGCTCCACCATGTCGCTCTGCGCCTGGTACTGCATCGTCACCATGCCTATGAACACCTGCGGAAACAAAACGCGATTCTAGTTCGATTACTGTTCTTATGTTATACTAGCGATCCGCCCTCGCTTCGCTTCAGAAACTGTAATTTATTATTGATTTCTCCACTATCTAATGGGTGTTATTATACATATAAACCTTCCTTTTTAATCACTATCTATTGAAAAAAACCGCATCAAAATCCGTTGCGTAGTTTTAAAGATTTAAGCATACATAGGGATATAGAGACAGAGAAAGCGACTTTGTTTTATACTATGTAGTGACTAAGCGTACCGTCTTCGCGGTAAATTTTAATCATGAAATTTTACACGCCATTCAGTTTCCACGTTCGTATTCATCGAACGGCAGAGCGAAGGAAAATCGCACACGCACACACACGCATACACACACGCACGCACGCATGCATACACGCACGCTCGCTCGCACTCACTATATATATATTTTATCATAATTGTTTCTTATTGTTTATCTGCCTATAAAAATTTATAATATAAAAACTGATTACACAGGTCTATAAATTTTAACATTTATTTTCACTTTTTCGATTTGAATGCTAATCTTGGAGTATTTTAGTTTGTTTGAAAAATCCTATTGGTGTGAATTCGAAAAAAATAGTTTATGTAATTTAACAGTAAATGGTGATAAAAACATCGAAATGAACATCGATATATCGTTCATATAGATCGATGTTTATTATATCGATGTTTCACTTTTAAAAACATCGATGTTTGTTATGAGCGATGTTGCGCATCCCTAATCGTTCGAAAGGAATTTCAAAAAATATATATTTCCAGTTATTATTACAATTATATGGTTGGTCTAAAATTATCAGAAATTTTCAACATCGCCTACACCGCTTGAGGTAAATTATTTATGTCGATTACAAGTATTCGTTAAGAAATACCAACTTGATTGCATTGCAGATCGAAATATCCATCGGCGTCAACAACATCGTCGTCGGTCACTTCATTGAACAGTAGGGAATCTGTGAATCATCATATAAATTAAGATTTATAACTATGCGTTATTATATTAATAGAAAGTGCCTAGAATCTGCGTTTTGAAATTCTTTCGTAATATTATAAATGTAAAATATTTTTGTTTGTCTGCATGTGTGTTTGTCATTGTCGAAACGTAGCAATGTATGGAAATCATTTTTTTTATTAAGTCAGGGAATTAACATACAGGGATATGCCAATACCAAAAAACAACTAATTCCCACAGGAAAATAATACTTGACCACGCAAGCGAAGCCGGGGGTAACAGCTAGTTATAGATAAAATCTAATGAATATATGGTTTCAAGCGTTAAAACACACGGCAATAGATAGATGATGGACCAAAGTACATATACTGGCAACAACACTACCGATTAAGAATTTTGACACTAAGTTAGTAGATTTTCTTTCGACTTTCAATTCTAACAATATTTAAATTGAAATAAATAGGTAATTAAAACTATATGTTATTTGTACTGTATTGACTGAGTGAGCCCTTAGAACTCATGTCTTAAGGTGAGTGGTAACATTTACTTTGTAGATGTCAATGGGCTCCGGTAACCATAGCAGGTGGGCTCGTTCATCCACTTAAACAATAAAAAAAAATAAAAAAATGTCGGTAATGACCAGTTGAATGAAAGTGCAGCGCGGGCGCGTCCGGCCAATGTTGCGTGCGCGGCGCCAGCCCCCCGCGCCCCTCCGCAGGCACCTCCAGGTACATGTCTGCCACGGGCGAAGACACGCCGCGCGTCACCGGCCTGCCCACAACAACGCGCACTCGTCAGGTCATCTCGTGACGTCACCGACGCTCTCCACTAATACCCATTTTACTGGTGGTAGGACCTCTTGCGAGTCCGCGCGGGTAGGTACCACCGCCCCACCTATTTCTGCCGTGAAGCAGTAATGCGTTTCAGTTCAAAAGGCGTAGCAGCCGTTGTAACTATACTGAGACCTTAGAACTTATATCTCATGGTGAGTGGCGCATTAACTTTGTAGATGTCTATGGGCTCCAGTAACCACTTAACACCAGGTGGGCTGTGAGCTCGTCCACCCATATAAGCAATTAAAAAAAACCCAGCGCTGGCTGTTCTTCTTTTTATTTATTTTTTGGCTCCGGCACGGTTTGTGCATTAGCCAGCGTCAAGTAATAAGATTTTAATAATTGGCCGTTTTAATTATTTATAGTTTATGAATAACAAAAAAACGAAGGAAACTAATCGCGATATAACAACATAAATTTTTAAAAACGAATTAAATTTACAAATGAGATGATATGTCATGAAATATAAACTCAGTAAAACGGTGGTCATTTATTAAGACTTTTTCAATGGACTTTTTGGAGGATCGCAAGAAGCTACGTCTAGCGGCTTTGTTTCATTTTCGCACAATTGTGTACTTTCACAGATACTAAACAGTTAATAAACCACCGTTATTACACATTTAAACCTGAAGAAATACTAAATAGACAAAATAAAACAAATCACACAACTTCACTCCTCGCGTTCCCGCCAAAAAGTCTCTAGCGCTGGCTGTTGCATACAACATTGTTTATTTTTTACAATTTTATGGCCTGGTAACGTGACCTTTAAGCCAATTCTCATATTATCTTCTTCGTCACCCGTTTATTTATTAATAATTTATATTTTAAAACAATTTAAACATAACTCAAGAGGATTACGCATTTAATGAGTAAAAATCAATAATTTAATTCAATCATTCTGCCATTTCCCTGTACACCATTTACTTACTTGTAAGCGAAAGCAGTACAGTAGGCCGTCAGTGAGTTTCTTTGGTAAAAATCTATGATCTTCTTTCGGTCGGAAGCAGATATCGGTGTTAAGTCCCGCCCGTTCCAGTAATCTACGCACGAGTCTAACACTATATCTGCGGTACCCTGAAAAGCGACATGTTATGAAATAGATCAGATCATTAAAAGTAATTTATGTAGCCCAGAATCAGTTGGTAATTGTACCCATAAGTTTCAATTCCCAACTTACAAGAGGGTAGTTTTTAATTGTGCAAATCCAATGTCCACTTTAAGATAATAGTTATTTAGCAGTTCTATTTTAAATGTTATGATGTATGTGTCGATAAATTCATACGAATCAATGTTTTACGATTGTGAATGTCAACAAGTAAACATCAATGTGTATTGTCGTTTTTTTTTTGTTATTGGCAACATTATTTCAGGAATACCTACTTTTCCACCAATGGAGATGTATATCGACGCTTGAAAGGCAAACGTGACTAAGCGACAATAACTGCTTTGTACATAAATGATAGGCAATAACCATATTCGATGCGCAAAAAAATATATATTTCTAGGTCTATTAAAATCATTTCAATCCTACAGCTAGATTCGTTAAAATAGATTTTTTTTCAGGTATTTCAACTTTAAATTAGACTACTGTAAAGTTCACGCATTGTCGCTTAGTCACGTTTGCCTTTCAAGCGTCGAATTATGTTTTTTTAGTTCCTGTTCCATTATTTTTTAAGCAAATGGTATTCTAATTAGGTGTAGTCCTCCGAGACGCACTTGATTTAATGACATCAATCCAACATTCGCGATGTAGTTCTGTTATTGTTAAAGGCTGTACCGTAGATTTGGGGGGAATCGGGACCCTTTCCAATTCCAACACAAATTTTCAATGGTTTTTTCTTAGGGTAATACCAATAAAATTGAGATTAAAATGGTTCTGGAGGAAGGTTTATAGTTTTTATATACGATGCGTTATTATACATGGTTCATTACAAAATATACACAAAAACTGAAAAAACTAGCTTGACCCGATTCACCTTGGCTTTGGGGTGAATCAGGTTACGTAAGGAGACAATACACTTTTGCGATAGGGCTGGCACTATTTAGTTGTTAGCTAGGTTCATAACTTTAGGTAATTAACTTTTTAATATCTTTAATTAGTTACAAAACTTTTATTATTAAATTAAACTATTTAATATTCTTAAACACTAAATAAAAGTTATTTTCAATTCACCAAAGTTAAATCTAACAACTCAACAAAAGTATTGTGACATCCCAGATTTGACCCTAGTCTAACTCTAGTCTCTATTCCCCCCAATCTACTGTATTTTTTTCATTTTTTTTATTGCCCTTGTAGGCAGACTTGCATACGGCCCACCTGATGGTGAGTGGTTACCATCGCCCATGGACTTCAGCAATGCCAGGGGCAAAGACAAGCCGCTGCATACCGCTTAATACTCTCCACAAGCCTCTTTTAAGAATGTTAAAGAACGTATGTAAGGATTGGTTACCTGTGTGAGCATTTGCAATTGATTAGCGTGGTCCTTGACTAGAACGGCGAGCATGTGCGGCAGGGGAACCTTGACCCGGGTGCTCAGTTGCAGTGAGCGCACGAAACGCGTCTCGCGCCGGATAGTGTCCGCGCGCTGTAACAACACAACCAAGCCTACATACATACGGGGCGGACAAACGGAGCCACTTATTGAATATTTATTACTAGTGGCAGGACGTCTTGTGTGTCGGCGCGGGTAGGTACCACCACCCTGCCTATTTCTGCCGTGAAGCAGTAATGCGTTTCGGTTTAAAGGGTGGGACAGCCATTGTAACTATACTTGAGACCTTAGAACTTATATCTCAAGGTGGGTGGCGCATTTACGTTGTACATGTCTCTGGGCTCTAGTAACCACTTAAAACCAGGTGGGCTGTGAGCTCGTCCACCCATCTAAGCAATAAAAAAAAAGCTTGCATATATATAGTTTCCGAACAACAACATTCGGACCGTCGGTCTACCGAGCAAATATCATCTGCTCGGTGGAAGATCTTCCCTTTGTCGTATATAAACCCATAGCATTTATAGGAAACAACAATTAAATATCTTACCAAATGTCTGAATATTGACAAACAGTGCTGCACGCTGTAGGCGTCAGCGACGGAATCTGTGAATCCTATTTGTTTGGCCAGCTCGCAGAGGCAACGGCGATTTGTCACCGGAACTAAGTCTTCACTGCAATAAATTTTGAATATATTTCGGTGACATATTAACAAAGTTCCTTATAATTGGGCTGACTTCAGAAATCGAGAATATGAACACTAAAGTTTACAAGAGACACTTTTATGAAACTGTTTTATATAAATTATTATGTACATATTAGGCCTTTCTTTACATGTGAAGTTATAGAACACTAGCCGTTTTGAAAGTAAGGCTAGTGATAAATTCTAAATTCAATTTAATTTCATTAAAAACATATGGAATTATATTTTTAAACTCAATCATTTGTTTATGGATTGTTATTTTGCTATAACTAAATTTGTATATTTTTCATCAATATGGACACAATAAAAATATGAGTAATAATTGAAGACATTAGTGGATGAAAGGGCTAAGTACTATTTTTAAGATTTTTGATTTTATACGTTGAATGAAGGTTCAAAGGCTATTTTTAGAAATTGCTTGTTGTGACGGATCTTGAGGGAAAATATTTGCTATCGATTAATACGACATTTTCTTCCGTACGACCGTGTATTTAGCACATTTACAATATTAACTTACGAAAAACTAAAAACTACAACCGGTTCGCTTCACATATTATTTGACAAGTGTTTTTTCTTGAGACCGTGTTGCCAGACTCATTGCACAAAAGTTACGTTCCGTGACACATGCGATGAAGGAGTTATGTACGAAGAAAAATTACAAGTAACAAAAGCTTGTTGCCCGTTTTCTCAAAACCAACAAATTGTATCATCATATCCCCTCCATCCACTCTATTATATATGAGAATACAAGTTTGTTCGCGGTAGCAATACCATATAAACGGCTCGCAATATTAATGACATGTGCAGAGTGAACATTGCAAACTACTATAGGATTGTATATTCATTTGAAACGCTTCCGACATGGGAGTTTTGATCTAAAAAATTAAGCCGTAAGGTAATCAATCACCAGAAAACTGTAAATTGTAGAAAATCTCATATATTTATTATTTAGTTTTCCTACATAAGCTGATAGCCTTGAGAGGCTATTTCAGCGTAACCTTAACTAGTAGGTGAGCTCACGGGGCTCAAACCGGAGTGATGCTAACACTGACCCTAGCAAGAGCCGTGCTTCGCAGAATCTATCACCGGATCGGAATCGCGACCCACTGAGAAGAACCGGTGAGAAACTCAGTGGCTGTGTCTGTGGGTTAGTTTACTCGTCGAAGCCTTCGTCGCAAGCGACGGGTTCGACGAGAACGATGACAGGTGCTTGAAGTACTTAAATCACTGGTGGTAGGACCTTTTGTGAGCCCGCACGGGTAGGTACCACCACCCTGCCTATTTCTGCCGTGAAGCAGTACTGCGTTTCGGTTTGAAGGGTGGAGCAGCCTTTGTAACTATACTGAGACCTTAGAACTTATTTCAAGGTGGGTAGCGCATTTACGTTGTAGATGTCTATGGACTCCAGTAACCACTTAACACCAGGTGGGCTGTGAGGTCGTCCACACATCTAAGCAATAAAAATAATCGTACCTCAACTGAGCTTCGCAGGTGAGGTGCGCGCAGAAGTGCGCATACGTGTGTCTGGGGGCGGGCGCGCACGTGTTGAGCAGCGCCGCCAGCCCCAGCGGCTTCAGCAGCGCCAGGTGCCGCCGCCAGCGCTGGTCGTCGAACTCCACGCAGAACGGCGCGTTCTGGTCGTGGGTCAGGTCTAACACCTGCAGCAGGAGGGCAACGCTTCACTACTGGACAATGTTATTAGGTCTTATTTAAACTAATATTATAAAGTTGAAGAGTTTGTTTGTTTGAACGCGCTAACCTCAGGAACTACTGGTCCGATTTGAAAAATTATTTCAGTGTTAGATAGCACATTTATTGAGAAAGGCTATAGGCTATATAACATCAAGGTAAGGCCAATACAAGTGGAGCACCAATAAAGAATGTTTCAAAATAGAGGTTTAAATAGCTTCTTAACATTCTATAATTCAAAAATATTTTCGCTTTCTACGTAAATGAAGTGGGGGTAAAACTTAGCATTATGCCAAAGTAACTGTTCCACGCAGACGGAGTCGCGGGCTAAAGCTAGTTTTTTATATAGCTAAGTTGGGTGGACGTGCTCACGGCCCGCTTTGTATTAAGTGTAAGTATTTCGCAATTTTAATATTAACGCAACGTTAATCGTCGACACTGGAATGAACGGTACCTAATAGAATGGTTGTATTTGAACTCAACCGCGTCATCAATTTAATGCTAACACTTCACAAATCTTCTACGGCTTATGATTTTTATTCTTCATTGTCGTGTGTGGCTCAGGAATTCATAATTGCAGTTTGCAGATAGGGCGGTACCTACCTCAACAACAGTAGACGGTTCGTGGTGCCTGTTATCTGGCTGTTCCAGTACCGAATCTCCGGGATGACCCAGGGAGCCGGCCAGACTAGTTTTGCTCGAGTTGTGCGACGTGGGATCCGAATTACGAAGGAAAAACACTTTCTCCGGTGTCGGATTTGGCCATGATAATATCCCCTTTTTGTCCACACACGATAGAGCCTGAAAAATAATAAGTTATGATTTGTATTTAGGTTGGTATTGTATTACGTTAAACTTATATTGGTTAGTCTTGTATTAGGTTGATCTAGTATTAGGTTGATCTAGTATTAGGTTGATCTAGTATTAGGTTGATCTAGTATTAGGTTGGTATTGTATTACGTTAAACTTATATTGGTTAGTCTTGTATTAGGATGTCGTTGTATTAGGTTGGTATTTTATTACGTTAAACTTATATCGGTTAGTCTTATATTAGGTATCTAGTATTAGGTTGGTATTTTATTACGTTATTTATATTGGTTAGTCTTGTATTCGGTTGCCGTTGTATTAGGTTGATCTTGTATTAGGTTGGTCTTGTATTAGGCTGGTCTTGTAATAGCTTATTCTTACTAAGTGACTCCAAGCAATGACAGATGCCATCTACATTCATTTTCCATTACATTTAATGCATGATCCTTTTGGTCTAGTGATAAGTAAGAGTGAAAACAGAGTCAAGGTTCATTTCCTGGTGGGAGTCGATCCCCGGTTTAAGATATTTTAGTCTTTAGCATGAATATAACACTAAACAGTACCTGGGTTTGAAATGAAATTTAAAATGCTACTCACAGACAAAGATCCCAGGACATGTACGATGTTGGCAGTCCTAGATACCATGTCTTCTCTACCAGTCAAGATGTTGAAGAATGTCTTTGCTAATGACTTGATGCTCTCCGGTTTCAGACTGGATTCGCTCAGCGCCTGAAGCAGAGGGTCGCTCGCGTCCTCTGATATGGAACACGACTTCGGACGGACGTATTTTTGGCGGGTTTCTGCTATTTGCTTGAATCTAAAAATAAAAATTCTCATTTAATATTTTTCTCATTCAACTGTAGGCAGCGGCTTGGCTCTAGCCCTGGCATTGGTGAAGTCCACGGGCGACAGTAATAGCTCACCACTGGGTGGGCCGTCTGATCGTCTGCCTAAAAGGGCAATAAAAATAAAGAAGCCCTTGGATTTGTTATTAAAATTATATTCAAAGCCTTATTATCCCTTAAACAACCTCAACAGTCATACAATAACAGATTAATGTATGGCATTACATTACAGTACCACATTACAACATACCTGCCATAAATGTAAAATTGAATTAGAAGTGACATTCTGACAGAACAGTGTTTCTTTTGTCAATATAAAGCTTTCATCTCAAGTAGGTTTTTTTTTTAAATCTAAATTTAACTGACGGGATCGTAATTCTAAAATCATGAAAACAAACAATACACACCTCGCCAATCCGTAACAGTTAAGCGTGACCCAAGCTATGGGGAACACGATTTGCAATAGGGGCAATGAAGCGGCTATGGTCTGGAGAAAGTATATCTCCGTCCAGTGGGTCACGCCGGGCAAATGGTACACGTGACGCAGGAAGCTCGCCACCACCACTAAGGATATGACCAGGGGCAGCACTATGCCTTCCATCACCTTCACTGTGCACTGTAAATTATAAAATAATGTATTTATGTCTATGTGAGGGTAGAAAAAAACGACTAAAATATGTGATCAGCTTTTGTGAAATTAACAATAAGTCCCAAACGAGAACACGCTACTGCTTTACGCTAGAAATCGTCAGAATAGTAGTGCTGATCCACGTGGGCTCACAACAACAAGCAGATTAATAAGTTTTATTTAACTCGTTTTTGTTTTGTTTGTTTTGTAACTCGAGCCCATAGACATCTACAACGTAAATGCGCCACACACCTTGAGATATAAGTTCTAATTTCTCAGTATAGTTACAACGGCTGCCCCGCCCTTCAAACCGAAACGCATTACTGCTTCACGGCAGAAATAGGCAGGGTGGTGGTACCCACCCGCGCGGACTCACAAGAGGTCCTACCACCAGTAAAAAGTGTTCTACGTCATATGTATGTACATATCTATATAACTGAATCTTTTAAAGCCTAATATAAGATATTTTACATTCAAGTTAACATAAAAACCTCTGATTGACTTGAAAATTAGGACACATATCATCATCATCATCATCATCATCAGCCTTTATCTGCCCACCGCTGGACATAGGCCTTCCCCAATGCCTTCCACATAATGCGGTCCTCCGCCTTCCGTATCCAACGACTTCCCGCCGCGCGCACTAAGTCGTCAGTCCACCTGGACACATATCACTGACCGAAAAATATTATTAATTTAATTCGTAGGCCAAGGATTTAACAAGATAAAAACAACTTTAACTTACCAAATACCTTTGTTTCTCAAAAACAGTGACCGGCCTGGTTGTTGCTTGTTCGAGTGCCATCTTTAGATTCTTCAAGTAAGGCGTCTCGCACATCTTGTAAGCTTTATTCTGATGAGGTACCCTTATGTGTGGAATTGTACAATGTTCTTTGTTCTGAAAGGATATTGTAATTTAATGTTTTTTATCTATACTAATATTATAAAGAGGAAAGATTTGTTTGTTTGTTTCGAATAGGCTCCGAAACTACTGGACCGATTTGAAAAATTCTTTTTCCATTAGAAGCCGACATTGTCCCTGATGAACATAGGCTACTTTTTTTTCATTTTTTTTAATTTAATTTTTTTGATTTCATGTGTGTTTTAATGTTTCCGAAGCGAAGCGAGGGCGGGTCGCTAGTAATAGATAAAAGGACAGTTTGGTTACACTATGTTTATTATACGCTATCCTTTTATTCATTACTAGCGACCCGCCCTCGCTTCGCTTCGGAAACTGTAATTTATTATTGTTTTGTACACTATTTAATGGATGTTATTATACATATAAACATTCCTCTTTAATCACTCTATCTATTAAAAACAGCATCAAAATCCGTTGCGTAGTTTTAAAGATTTAAGCTTACATAGGGATGTAGGGACAGAGAAAGCGACTTTGTTTTATACTATGTAGTGATCATATTTGTGGTAGGGCGTCTAGTGAGCGCGCATGAGTAAGTACCACCACCACCACCACCACCACCTCGCCTATTTATGCCGTGAAGCAGTAGTCCGTTTCGGTTTGAAGGATGGGGTTGCCATTGGACTATAAAAACAGACTTAGAACTTGTCGCGGTCTAGCGGATAAGACGTCCGGTGCATAAGTGTTGAGCGATGCACCGGTGTTCGAATCTCAGGTGAGTACCAATTTTTCTAACGAAATACGTACTTATCAAATGTTCACGATTGACTTCTACGGTGGAGAAATAACATCGTGTATTAAAAATTAAACCCGAAAAATTATAATTTGCATAATCACTGGTGGTAGGACCGCTTATGAGTCCGCGCGGGTAGGCTTTTTTTTTTTTTCAATTTTTTGTTGCCCTTGTAGGCAGACGAGCATACGGCCCACCTGATGGTGAGTGGTTACCGTCGCCCATGGACTTCAGCAATGCCAGGGGCAGAGCCAAGCCGCTGCCTACAAACCACCCCGCCTATTTCTGCCGTAAAGCAGTAATGCGTTTCGGTTTGAAGGGTGGGGCAGCCGTTGTAACTATACTGAGACCTTAGAACTTATATCTCAAGGTGAGTGGCGCATTTATGTTATAGATTTCTATGGGCTCCAGTAACCACTTAACACCAGGTGGGCTGTGTGCTCGTCCACCCCTCTAAGCAATAAATAAAAAATAAATAAAAACATACTTGAGAGTTCGGCTGATATGTCTGTCCGAAGAACAATTCCGGGTCATTGGGTTGCAGTCCTTTACAGTGTCCGGGTACTTCTTGTCCGGGCCTTAGTACTATTACATCTCCTTCCACCAGTAAGGCCCATGGTAAATTGACTATAGTACCTAAAATAACGAATATTTTACGATTACGTTAATTTAACACATACACACTTACAGCGAAAGGATGGGGAAAGACGTGAAGTCAATCTATAAGACTGGCAAGCACTTTTTATATTCTTTAGATTTTCATATGGTAATGTAATTGAGAAAGATTGCAATACAGGAAAAAAAGTTTAGCAAGCACTTGGGGGATTAAATAGCAACAATAACAAATAACACATAAATTATCAAATGTCGCGAGTTGTCGGTCTCAAAAATGTTATGCTCTTACAACAGGGATGATATCTTCAACAAAGTAACTAATAAATTTTCGTGGAGTCCCGCCATCGGATTGTGAGCCCCCGTTTTTTTCATGTCACGTAAACGTAGACTCCGATCGACACCCCCCTCCCCCTCCCCGGTCTCCCGTGGACCTTTGAGTTCCACCTGGACCACTTTGAGAACTAAGGCTCTATATATAAGTAAATGTATTTTGTAGCATATATAAACGAATGGTATTCGATACGTCGTATTTTAAAAATTTAAAGAGTTTTCAAAAATTTACGTAGTGCGTTGCAACTGAGACAATTGCAGCCACAAAACGACATGAAGACAAGCAGTACGCATCACATGGCTGATCAATTATTTTAAGCATTGACCGTTTGAATCTTCTTGAATAATTATAACGTATAATTTATCAAATGATGCAATGCGACACGAGGATCGCAATGAAGAAAAACAAGGTTTTCATAGAATTCGATCAACAACAATGTTTTCATGGAGAATTGAGATAACAATATTTTATTATAAACATAACATTTCTCGGTACGTAGCCATTAAAGGCAATTTTATCTTTAGACGGACATCCTTTGTCCGTCAACAATCAAATCGTTCATTTATAGATGTAAATTCGATTTGATAATCTATACATATAAATGAAATTGGAGTGTCTGTTTATAATATTGAAATAACCGCTTTTTACTACATGCATATGAATATACCTAGTCAGGTCATAAGTATTGTCACACAGTAAAAACTTTTCTTTTAGAATGCTGGCCACAAAAAAGTTTATTGAATTCGAATTTCGAATTGTTCATGAAAATAAAAATGTATACTTTTAGAATTTTACTCATTTTTAAATATGGAGTGGACGCTTAAAGAAGACCGTGTTGCAGTTATTGCGTTGCGTCGTTGCGGTTACGCGCCAATTCAAATTTTTAACATACTGAAAAATTTGAATATAACCAAAAGATTCGTTTATCGTACCATCAAACGATACAATGAAGACTCTAGTGTAGATGACAGGTCAAGAAGTGGTCGCCCTCGGTCTGTTAGGACTCCAGCAGTGATAAAAGCTGTGAAGGCGCGAATTCAAAGAAATCCCAAACGTAAGCAGAAACTGTTGGCCCTTCAGATGGGGTTAAGCAGAACCACGGTGAAAAGGGTGTTAAATGAAGACTTAGGGCTTCGGGCATATCGAAGAAAAACAGGACATCGTTTGAATGCTCGTCTAATGGACCTGAGACTGAAGAGATGCCGCGCTTTGTTGAAGCGGTACGCGGGAAAAAAATATCGGGAAATTCTTTTTTCGGATGAAAAAATTTTTACCGTAGAAGAGAGCTACAACAAACAAAATGATAAGGTGTACGCACACAGTAGTGAAGAAGCGAGCAACCGTATTCCGCGTGTCCAACGAGGTCATTTTCCATCCTCGCTCATGGTATGGTTGGGAGTTTCTTATTGGGGCTTAACAGAGGTACATTTTTGTGAGAAAGGTGTAAAAACGAATGCAGTTGTGTATCAAAATACAGTCCTGACGAACCTTGTGGAACCTGTTTCTCATACCATGTTCAATAACAGGCACTGGGTATTCCAACAAGATTCGGCGCCAGCTCATAGAGCGAAGAGCACACAAGACTGGCTGGCGGCGCGTGAAATCGACTTCATCCGGCACGAAGACTGGCCCTCCTCCAGTCCAGATTTGAATCCGTTAGATTACAAGATATGGCAACACTTGGAGGAAAAGGCGTGCTCAAAGCCTCATCCCAATTTGGAGTCACTCAAGACATCCTTGATTAAGGCAGCCGCCGATATTGACATGGACCTCGTTCGTGCTGCAATAGACGACTGGCCGCGCAGATTGAAGGCCTGTATTCAAAATCACGGAGGTCATTTTGAATAAACTTTAGTGTCATAAGAATCTATGTTTTGTTAAGTTCATTTTGGTATATGAATGGTTACATAATGAATAAACTTGTTTCAATGATTTTACATTAAACATGTGACAGAATTTATGACCTGACTAGGTATATACGGTACATACACCAAAATATAATTTTTTACAATTTTTGTCTGTCTGTCTGTCTGTCTATCTGTCTGTTTGTTCCGGCTAATCTCTGGAACGGCTGGACCGATTTTTATGAGACTTTCACTGATAGGTAGCTGATGATATAAGGAGTAACTTAGGCTACTTTTTTTAGACTAGCTTCGCCCTGCGGCGTCACTCGCGGTACGACAATAACCGCGGGGAACATCCCGAGACTAAGCTATTAATAATAAAATTTAATGTTTCCGAAGCGAAACGAGGGCGGGTCGCTAGTGTTCAATAAATTTTTACTTTTCAATCAATCTATATGTATCCGGTCAGTTTAACGTTTAAATTTCGATTAAAAAATAAACGATATTAATTTTAATATAATTTTTCTTAGAAATAATCTGTTTATAAAATAAATTTATCAATAAAATTATTTTCTGGTGGTAGAGCGTCTTGTGAGCCCTAACGGGTGAGTACCACCGCCCCGTCCATTTCTGCCGTGAATCAGTAAAGCGTTTTAAGTTTCTCATATCTCTAGGTGGGTTGTGGTATTTACGTTGTATATGTTTTTTTTTTATTGCTTAGATGGGTGGACGAGCTCACAGCCCACCTGGTGTTAAGTGGTTACTGGAGCCCATAGACATCCACAACGTGAATGCGCCACCCACCTTGAGATACAAGTTCTAAGGTCTAAAGTATAGTAACGACGGCTGCCCCACCCTTCAAACCGAAACGCATTACTGCTTCACGGCAGAAATAGGCAGGGTGGTGGTACCCACCCGCGCGGACTCACAAGTGGTCCTACCACCAGTAATTACGCAAATTATAATTTTGCGGGTCATTTTTATTACACGATGCTATTCCTTCACCGTGGAAGTCAATCGTGAACGTTTGTTGAGTACATATTTCATTAGAAAAATTGGTACCCACCTGCGGGATTCGAACACCGTTGCATCGCTCAACACGAATGCACCGGACGTCTTATCCGTTAGGCCACGACGACTAAAAAATGTGGAACGCTTCACGATTTTGCGTGTCATCCTTGCGCAGGGGCCATGCTAATCTTTTCTGTATCGTTCCAATTTTAGTATATGTCCTGCCGAAGCAAGTATGGGCTTAGTATGTAAGCTAGAATTGCATTGTAATTTGTAACTAACAAAGCCTAAAAGCATTGAGAGTAGAACAGGTATATCCATTACGACGTGTCTAAGACATCGACGAGAATTTTATTAAAATATGAAAGTATTATTATTAATATCGAACAAATCTTGTGATTACATTGCCTTAGATTAGAAAGCCTTAATAAAGAAGACTACGATATATTCGAATAATCCTTCTTTGTATGCAGTCATTCATGTCTGTCTCTGCTTTGCTAATATATTTATTGGGCACACTTCTCTTACGATTTAAGCAAGACATAAACAAAACAAGCTGTTATGTGCTTAGTGTTAAAGGCTCCATGCTATACGGGCAGGCATAGGCCTCATTCATGCAGGCATACCCATTGTACTGCTCACTCTCTCAGGTCTCACTTAGCAATGAAATATTTATTAACCTGGTCAGATATATTCTTTTTATTGCCCCTATAGGCAGATGAGCATACGGCCCACCCGATGGTGAGTGGTTACCGTCGCCCATGGACTTCAGCAATACCAGGGGCAGAGCCGAGCCGCTGCCTATCATTAAGTCTCTACAAGCCTCGTTTTAAAAAGGACATGTCATAGCGTTCGGAAAACACTGTGAAGGGGAGCTCATTCCAAAGGCGATGGCGATACTTGAGATCTGGTAGGCAGCGGCTTGGCTCTGCCCCTGGCATTGCTGAAGTCTATGGGCGACGGTAACCACTCACCATCAGGTGGGCCGTATGCTCGTCTGCCTACAAGAGCAATAAAAAAAAGATGCTGCTTAATCATTTGATTTTTATGAAAATAAATTATAATTACATATACATGATTATGTATGTCGCACAAGGATAAGAAGAGTACGTAACAATTTCCAAAACCTGTTTTTTCAGTAGTGTTTAAAATTTTAAAAGTTTTACTATTCAGTGTTTAAAATTTTCAGTAGTTTTTAAATTGACTAGTTCTGCACCAGAATGAATTAAAAAATATACCTATATTAGAGTAGTTTTTTTTCCAAAAATTTAGTATACTTCGCGAGCCGAGAGGTGGTGCCACTACCATAAATATATATATACCTAGTCAGGTCATAAATTCTGTCACATGTTTAATGTAAAATAATTGAAACAAGTTTATTCATTATGTAACCATTCATATACCAAAATGAACTTAACAAAACATAGATTCTTATGACACTAAAGTTTATTCAAAATGACCTCCGTGATTTTGAATACAGGCCTTCAATCTGCGCGGCCAGTCGTCTATCGCAGCACGAACGAGGTCCATGTCAATATCGGCGGCTGCCTTAATCAAGGATGTCTTGAGTGACTCCAAATTGGGATGAGGCTTTGAGCACGCCTTTTCCTCCAAGTGTTGCCATATCTTGTAATCTAACGGATTCAAATCTGGACTGGAGGAGGGCCAGTCTTCGTGCCGGATGAAGTCGATTTCACGCGCCGCCAGCCAGTCTTGTGTGCTCTTCGCTCTATGAGCTGGCGCCGAATCTTGTTGGAATACCCAGTGCCTGTTATTGAACATGGTATGAGAAACAGGTTCCACAAGGTTCGTCAGGACTGTATTTTGATACACAACTGCATTCGTTTTTACACCTTTCTCACAAAAATGTACCTCTGTTAAGCCCCAATAAGAAACTCCCAACCATACCATGAGCGAGGATGGAAAATGACCTCGTTGGACACGCGGAATACGGTTGCTCGCTTCTTCACTACTGTGTGCGTACACCTTATCATTTTGTTTGTTGTAGCTCTCTTCTACGGTAAAAATTTTTTCATCCGAAAAAAGAATTTCCCGATATTTTTTTCCCGCGTACCGCTTCAACAAAGCGCGGCATCTCTTCAGTCTCAGGTCCATTAGACGAGCATTCAAACGATGTCCTGTTTTTCTTCGATATGCCCGAAGCCCTAAGTCTTCATTTAACACCCTTTTCACCGTGGTTCTGCTTAACCCCATCTGAAGGGCCAACAGTTTCTGCTTACGTTTGGGATTTCTTTGAATTCGCGCCTTCACAGCTTTTATCACTGCTGGAGTCCTAACAGACCGAAGGCGAACACTTCTTGACCTGTCATCTACACTAGAGTCTTCATTGTATCGTTTGATGGTACGATAAACGAATCTTTTGGTTATATTCAAATTTTTCAGTACGTTAAAAATTTGAATTGGCGCGTAACCGCAACGATGCAACGCAATAACTGCAACACGGTCTGCTTTAAGCGTCCACTCCATATTTAAAAATGAGTAAAATTCTAAAAGTTATACATTTTTATTTTCATGAACAATACGAAATTCGAATTCAATAAACTTTTTTGTGGCCAGCATTCTAAAAGAAAAGTTTTTACTGTGTGACAGTACTTATGACCTGACTAGTTATATACACATATATATAGATATAGTTATTGCTTAGATGGGTGGAAGAGCTCAAAGCCAACCTGGTGTTAAGTGGTTACTGGAACCCATACACCGTAAATGCGCCGAAAAATTGGTCCCCGCCTGAGTTTCGAACACTGGTGCATCGCTCAACACAAATGCACCAGATGCCTTATCCTTTAGGCCACAACACTTAAAAAAAATCACAAACATTTTTTCATATACCTTTAAGATCTAATGCTCTGGCCAATTCAGATAAATTAAAGCTTTGATACCTAATTTTCAAATGTGTTATACTTTTAATTAAGAACTAATAATTGTTGAACTACGTAATTTCCGCTTTGTTCATTTCACAATAACATAGTGGCTTATGCCTTATGAAGTAAATTGATGTATATATTGTTTAATGGTGAACGATGCAGCTTAGAACCACTGAACAGGTTTCTATTTCTATGAACATTGCCACTACATTATTATTTACTAAATAAATCTATAAAATGGCTTACAAAATTCAATATTAATATGAATATCTATTATATTGTATGGTATACCAATTAGCATGTTACAAAAATAGTTGTAAATTAAGATAACAAGTAGTTTTCTGGGTAGACATAACAATGATTGTATTAAATTTCAAGATAACTGCCTTACGCTAATGATGTACTGACTACAAGGGCAATAAACATGTTCCAAGAATGTTTACTACTAAAATACGTACTTAATTAGAACTATAATTGTTTTCAGTTTTTATTAAATGTCTGTTATATGTTTTTAATATCTTCACATAATGAGTTCAGGGAACCTGATATTTTTATTTGATGTTTATTTAATGAGTGTGTTAGGAAGAACGATTCCTAAGAATTGAACTCGGAGTGATGTGGGAATAACTCATAGAACTAATTACAATACTGGAACTGGAGTTTTAGAGACAAGATTCTATGGACATAATAGGATGGATGAAGATAATACGGTGAGCAGTGGAACGAGTCATTCCAGACCAACAATTCAGATCATCAAAATCTAGATACTCTCATATGATAATGCAGAGGACAGTAAACTAATAAACCATACTAAGCTTTAGTGCATCCCATTCCTAGTGAGTGATGCGTATATAAAGAAGTCAATAAGTCTTGTTACCATCTCTGTATGTCCATTGTAAAGTTACACACGGCGAATATGGTGCACATAGGTGAGGATAATATTCTTCTTTCCATTTCACTCTATTGATAGCTTTAGTCATTGTTTCTGAAATTGGAAAAAAAAAAACATTATACTACGTTAAAAATACTATTCTCAATTATCCTAAGCACATATTATATGGTGATTGGTATGATAGTGAACTAGGGAACCTATATGTTAGTTCCTAGATTTTTTCAAAAACATCGGTTTTTCCTGGTGGTTCATCTTTTTACTGATGGTAAGACCTCTTGTGAATCCGCAAGGGTAGGTACCACCACCCTGCCTATTTCTGCCATGAATCAGTAATACGTTTCAGTTTGAAGAGTGGGGCAGCCGTTGTAACTATACTTGAGACCTTAGAACTTATATCTCAAGGTGGGTGGTGCATTTACGTTGTAGATGTCTATGGGCTCCAGTAACCACTTAACACCAGGTGGGCTGTGAGATCGTCCACCCAACAAAGCAAAAAAAAAATTAAAAAAATTGAGGCAAAAAAAACAGTCTTGAAGAAATATATTGAATGTTTCATTTTTATTATATTTAGGTTTTATTAGTTTTGAAGGATTAAACTAGTATACTATATATTCAAGCTTATCTTTCAACTGTTGTTAGCAGAATTCAGGCTTTTCTGCATTTTTTATATTGCGTGACAGCTACCCTGTACTAAACAAAGTAAAAAATATAACTCACCCAGCACTTTTTTTACTCTATGAGGTATTTCATTTTGATATAAATATTCTTCGTTAAATGCCACCAAAAAGTTAATTATTAATATGATTAATAGAAAAAAAGCCTCCCATAACAGATATGCATGGGCCTGTACTGAGACCCCAAATAGGTATGTTAATAATAGGCATACTATGTAAATCAATGTAATTGTGTATGCAACACCCGAAAGTAGAACCTTCTCTGATGAAAACGAAATAATATCACGTGCCAAGCGAAATCTGAAAAAAAAACAGTGTATTTTTTTTTTACTTTAATTATAGTTTAAAATGCGGATTAGAAATACATACCCAGTGGGAATCTTCTTTTTATATTCTTCAATCACGCCGCTAATGTCGTTGCGTAATTTGATCAGAGCATGTCTAGTTGAATAGCCTAATATTTCTTCGTTGTTATCATCCATAATCAATTATCTTGCGTTGTACATAGTTTAATAAGACCTATATTTAATTTATTAGAATTAAGATGTGTATATTTTACTATAAATTACACTAATAAATCACAGGGATAAACAATAATTTGAAAATAAAACTCGGTTTGCGATCATCAAATACTGCAAATCTCCTTTAATTTGGATAAGTATCATCTAAAACATTGTTATGAAACTTAAAACCTGTTATATTACTAAAGGATATTTTTGTTTTTCTCGAAATCAAACAGTGGTTAATTATGTAAATAAACCGAAAATATTGCGATTCAAAACTGACAACAATGTGACAGCACGAACCTTTTTTTTTAAAGATTTTATGGCAGAGCAGAAAGCAACCGAGAGCAAGCCCCGTAGACCATCAGATCCCAGCAGAGTAAATCAAACCCTGACAACTTAAATCACATCCTGTAATTAATCTATTATTGTGAGATAATGGTCGTGAGATTTAATATATTTTTTTCTTCCATAGATATTTTTATGCTATTCAAGTTGGGGTACATAGTCAAAAGGATTGCGACTTTAAGTGTAGTTGGGACCGCAAAGTTCTCGAGTTCGACTGCGTACCGGGAGACGTAACATGGGTAGGCCTCTCACAAGATGCACTGACGATCCAATAAGATTCTCGGGGATCTACAGGATGTAAGCAGCGCAGGATCGATCGTTTTGGTGAGACTTGGAGGAAGCCTATGTCCAGCAGTGGACGTCTGTGGGCTGAAAGATCCATAGGGATACATAAATTCTCAACAGTAGTAGTAATATTCTCAATTCTCAATAAACATTATAGACATACGTACATGAACCCTGAAAATATAACACTCTTTTTTTAACAGTTGCGTAAAAGAAAATCAAAGCGTCAACCCTAGATGTTTTTTGACGGGGGCAATGTTGACAATGGTGCGGCTGCACATTTCTGTGTAACTTTGCCCGTCATCATAACTTTTGTTATACTTGAGCTACAGCAACGAATCTATCAGCAAAATACTAAACACATTGTGTTACATAACAAATAATTTATTAAACTTACCGGTGTATTCGTTATAATGCACAATTTACTTCAAAAAATTCACAGTAATTGGCCCGCAAAAACTCATCCCTTTTTTGACAAGTGCCGACAGGTAACTGTGACTGTGTCAAGTTAGGAACGCACGCGCTATCCTATGATGTCACAGGTATATTTGATTCTCTACCAATGTTATAAACACTAGTAAGTTTGGTACTTTTTATGATATTAGTTGGTTTTCTTAGAAAGTGTGTTTTGGGCAAAGTTTAGCCTCGTGGCAAAGTTGACGTATTTGATGGTACTCAATTTGCGAACCCGTTTGCGCTTCCTCCTACACTTGTTTACGAATGTCTCACGAATTTCTCCTCCTTTTTAATTCGTCATTAAAACATTGAAGAGAAAAAGAGTTTTGAATTCTTTCCCAGACATCATTAACAGCCATGCTGTTTTTATGGGATTTCTTTTGATGAAGATACGCTACACAGTAGACGTCACGAACTATGAAAATGGCGATACGTCCGTTACCTTCGCAATCGTCGGCGCAACTGGGCAAACGAATGTGTGGGAGACTACGCGAAGGTTCGCGGTTCGCGCGCTTTGATGTCTGTTAAAAAACCGACACAGCTTGGAAAACCACGAATGCAGCGAAAACTTTGCATAATCATTTGCAAATGTCGTCCTACACTTGCGGGTTTGCGTATTCGTGGGCATGTGAGGGACCGGTGTTATGCCGGCCACTCACATTCGCGCAAATATTCGTACATTGTACGAATGTTTGCGCGCATGTGAAAGGCCGTCAAACATTCATTCGCAAACTTAGCGGCTGTGCAAATGGGTTCGGTACTCAATTTGCGAACCCGTTTGCGCTTCCTCCTACACTTGTTTACGAATGTCTCACGAATTTCTCCTCCTTTTTAATTCGTCAATAGAACATTGAAGAGAAAAAGAGTTTTGAATTCTTTCCCAGACATCATTAACAGCCATGCTGTTTTTATGGGATTTCTTTTGATGAAGATACGCTACACAGTAGACGTCACGAACTATGAAAATGGCGATACGTCCGTTACCTTCGCAATCGTCGGCGCAACTGGGCAAACGAATGTGTGGGAGACTACGCGAAGGTTCGCGGTTCGCGCGCTTTGATGTCTGTTAAAAAACCGACACAGCTTGGAAAACCACGAATGCAGCGAAAACTTTGCATAATCATTTGCAAATGTCGTCCTACACTTGCGGGTTTGCGTATTCGTGGGCATGTGAGGGACCGGTGTTATGCCGGCCACTCACATTCGCGCAAATATTCGTACATTGTACGAATGTTTGCGCGCATGTGAAAGGCCGTCAAACATTCATTCGCAAACTTAGCGGCTGTGCAAATGGGTTCGGTACTCAATTTGCGAACCCGTTTGCGCTTCCTCCTACACTTGTTTACGAATGTCTCACGAATTTCTCCTCCTTTTGAATTCGTCAATAGAACATTGAAGAGAAAAAGAGTTTTCAATTATTTCCCAGACATCATTAACAGCCATGCTGTTTTTATGGGATTTCTTTTGATGAAGATACACTACACAGTAGACGTCACGAACTATGAAAATGGCGATACGTCCGTTGCCTTCGCAATCGTCGGCGCAACTGGGCAAACGAATGTGTGGGAGACTACGCGAAGGTTCGCGGTTCGCGCGCTTTGATGTCTGTTAAAAAACCGACACAGCTTGGAAAACCACGAATGCAGCGAAAACTTTGCATAATCATTTGCAAATGTCGTCCTACACTTACGGGTTTGCGTATTCGTGGGCATGTGAGGGACCGGTGTTATGCCGGCCACTCACATTCGCGCAACTATTCGTACATTGTACGAATGTTTGCGCGCATGTGAAGGGCCGTCAAACATTCATTCGCAAACTTAGCGGCTGTGCAAATGGGTTCGGTACTCAATTTGCGAACCCGTTTGCGCTTCCTCCTACACTTGTTTACGAATGTCTCACGAATTTCTCCTCCTTTTGAATTCGTCAATAGAACATTGAAGAGAAAAAGAGTTTTGAATTCTTTCCCAGACATCATTAACAGCCATGCTGTTTTTATGGGATTTCTTTTGATGAAGATACGCTACACAGTAGACGTCAAGATCTATGAAAATAGCGAAACGTCCGTTGCCTTCGCAATCCTAGGCGCAACTGGTCACACGAATGTGTGGGAGACTACGCGAAGGATCACGGTTCGCGCAGTTTGGTGTCTGTTAAAAAACCACGAATGCAGCGAAAACTTTTCATAATCATTTGCAAATGCCGTCCTACACTTGCGGGTTTGCGTATTCGTGCGAATGTGGGTGACCGGTATTATAATCCATAATCAAACTGCGCAATGCGCAATATTCCGATGCTCCCCACTTTCTACGCATTCATAGAGAATCGATCTATCGACGGGTCGCGCTCAAAGGGTTAATTGTGTATGTACATACATTAAAATAGAAATTAATTGAATACTAAAACCTATGCAGTATTGCACTGTTGAAAGTGCAGAGGAAGGAATACCATTAAATTTTAGACAAAATAGAATTTAAAATGGTAGGACCATAGTGACTTCGGACTCGTGTCCGAAACTTTCCGGTACCGGACGAACTCGCAATTTGCACCCAGCCTTATTCTCTTTGACAGTTTAATTGAATTTGACTTGAACTTGTGTGAAGTTGGCGCTTCTGAGAAACATTTCGACCCGAAGTTTTCTTACTGTTTTATGTAAGTAATTTATTCTAGGCGTAAATTATTTTCAAAACATCATTTTTAAGCAGCATTGAAGGATCATAGCAATACTTGGCCAGAGTCCTGTTGTGTTATCCCAAGTAATGGATAGAATGCACTTAAATGTTGATTCCGCGAAGTGAACGTGTTCAGTGTGTGTGTTGTGTGTCATCGTGTCGGTCGGGATCATCGGTGTGCCATTTAGTTTCTCAGATAAAAACAAGGAATGCAAAGACGTACTCGCCAGTTTAATCTGAACTAGTGGAGAGTGATGATGAAGATATTTTTGCAATGGAAAATCTTTCTGTGAATTTCGGAGGAACGAAGTGGAGTGATCTGCGGAGATTGCTTTTGTGTTTTAAATTAATGCTAATTTGGATTTTGTTGAGTTTGCCGTGTATATTCGCGCATTGTCAAGGCGTAGAAAATCTGTCAGTGGCAGTTTACCCCATGGGTAACCTGAAAGTGCACTATGGAGATTCCTTTGAACTATTTTGTGTGGCTGAAAAGTTCACGTCCGCCGATATTGAGTTTACAATGGGGGGTAAGACCATTCCTTCCGAAGTAGTAAACAGCACAACAATACGGCTTTACATGGAAAAACCCGAGAAACAAGTGAACACTTTTTATTGTCGTAATAAAAAAACAAACAAGATATGCACAAGCAGAGTGGTAGTGGNCTATGGAGATTCCTTTGAACTATTTTGTGTGGCTGAAAAGTTCACGTCCGCCGATATTGAGTTTACAATGGGGGGTAAGACCATTCCTTCCGAAGTAGTAAACAGCACAACAATACGGCTTTACATGGAAAAACCCGAGAAACAAGTGAACACTTTTTATTGTCGTAATAAAAAAACAAACAAGATATGCACAAGCAGAGTGGTAGTGGACTCTACACCGATGGCAGTCACTGATTTTTCTTGTAAATCAAAAAATCTCGAGATTTTAAACTGTACTTGGATTGCTCCTGGACCTTTAAGTACGACCCAGAATTATATTACATTTTTGATCGATGGAAATGCTGTAGAACCCAGTACTCCGATCAGAGCGGATCAAACAAGATATTGGAACAGTTGGAATACTTACAGCATACCAAGATATAGACAAATGGAAAACAAGTATTATTTTTATTTGAGCTCGTGCAGTCCATTTGGTTGCAATAATCAAAGTTTTACAGTTGATCATTTCTCTATTGTGAAGCCTGATGCTCCAAGTAATCTGAAGGTAATAAGGAATTACACTAATGGGGTCTATCTACAATGGAATATACCTAATAACATGGTAGATTTATTGCCCTGTGGCGTTGATCATCGCATTGAATATCAAATTGATAAAATTGACAATAAATCTTATTTCCGAAGTGTGGATGCATCAAGTTTACCACCGAAAAATAGAACATATAAATTTTTACTAACAGATCTTCCTTATGCTCACATGAAATATGAAATCAGGATCTATATCAAATCTAAAGCTGCAGTGAAAGAAGAGTTTTGGTCAGACTTCACATATACCATGGTATATACACTTAGCGAGAGACCTAGAAGACCACCAGACACCGCAGTTGGAGCCTTTGATCAATCTTTATATCAAACAAATAGAATGATATACATTTATTGGAAACAACTTGAAGAATATGAAGAGGCAGGTACAAATTTCACTTACAAAGTTGTAGTTCATCATAAAAGCAATTATGAAACTTTGACAGCTGACAACAACAAAAGTTTGAGTTTTGTGGTCTTGGAAAAAGCACCATTTGATGCAATGGATGTCTACATTTGGTCTAGAAATGATAATGGATCTTCCATTAACAGCAGCCATCTGTACATTCCACCCAAAGAAGATACTGAAGCATTAAAAGTTTCTTCATTTACCAAACTAGCTTATGAAAATGGTGCATATAAATTGTCCTGGGTTGGTATAGAACATATTGACAATTATACACTTTTCTGGTGTCAACATAATAGTACAAAAATTTGTGCAGGCCGAATGAACTTCATTGTTTTAAGTGCCAATAAAACAATGCAAGTCATAGAACTACCTAGAGAAAACAGGTATCAGTTTGCCATATCGGCTAATAATGGGACGAAAACTAGTGGCATGGTATGGGCTATCTGTGATATATCTAAAGATGCAATTCCAATGTATGGTTTTCCGGTCAAAATGGACCATGGTATTCCAGGGAAAACTTTTGTAAAGATTAAATGGGCAATGACTTGTACACTTCAAGAAGGAATCATTACAGGATATTTGATCGCATATTGTCCTGCTCTAGATACCACTAATGTTTGTGCAACAAAAAATAAAACTAACTTATACATATCTAATCCTAAGCAAATGGAGATCAACATTACAAATCTTGAACCATACACTACATATATATTTACACTGGCATTGAACACCACTTATGGATTTAAAACAGTAGAAAATGCTTTCACGAGTATGACTACAACTGAAGATACTCCAACTAGTCCAGTTAATATTAATATAACCGATGTGCTTAGTGATTCATTGACGATTTCATGGGACCCACCTATTCATAAAAACGGAGTTATTGGAAAATATGTCATAAATAACTATGGTCAAGAAGTTTATGTAGAAAAAGTTTCAGATAAAGATGAAGATTCAAAAAGAAGGCATATTCGTTTGACTGGCTTACAGGGGTTTACTAATTATTCATTGAGTGTACAAGCATGTAGTACAGCTATAAGCAGTTGTTCGGTTTTGAATCCACATGATGCCCTTTTTGTCAGGACGAGAATAGGTCCTCCTAGTAAAATGAGGGCTCCAACTGTTAAAAATAATCCAGATTTTATTAAGTGGGTTCCACCAATAATACCAGGGGGGACGATTGACCTTTACCAAATTAAAAGGATTAAAGATGAGAGTGAAGCTGAAATAATAAATACTACAAACCTTTCATTTTCATTGATACATTGTGAAGGTGGAGTTGCCGGACAAACTTACCAAGTTAGAGCTGTTAATTTTGATGAAGATCCTTACCACGGTGCTTTAACTGACAATAAGGATGTATACCTACATAATGCTAACTATAAAGGTATACTAGAATATCCTGGAGAATGGAGTGAGCCAAGTTTTGTAAATTGTACAAGCAAAGAACATGTGACACTAACTCTTATTTTAATGGGAATATTTATGATAATTGGTATTATGTATGGTTTTATTAAATGTTACAAGAAATACCGAAAAATGGAAGATATTAAACCAGTTTTACCAAGTGGACTAGGAGTCCCCGAAAAGGATATTTCGAAATATGCTATTGGTGGTTGGAATCCTACAAACAAGGATGAGAAACCATCTTCAGACGAAATGTTGCTATTACCAAATAGTAGAACCACTGTATCTTCAGAATTGAAACAGAAAGAAAACAATAACAGTGCTTCTAGTGATCACACTGATAGTACAGCTTTATCAGATACATCACATGGGCCTGTAGAAAGACAAATCTCCTCATCTGATGATGGATCTAATTCATCACTACATCTTGAAGTAGAACCTACGAGAACAGCTGACAGTAACATCGATGGCGAATCATGCAATTCCGAAACTGAAACATCACAAATACCGTCACCATTCTTTAATGATAATACTTTCAAGAAAAATCCAAGTGGCTATGTGCAACAATCTGTAGTGAGTCCTAATACAGGATATGTTCAAAGTGTTCAAGCAGGCGTTACAAACCCACCACAACCCTCATCACTCAGTGCCAGCTCTAGTTATGTAATGGCAGCTCTGTCTCCACCTATATTTACGACACGTGTTGCTCAACCTTGCGTAACGAGTTCACAATCAGCAGGAGGCTATGTGCACCCTGAAGGTGCTCAAACTATATCAGCAATGAATTTCCCGAAATTGGGGCAGACAACGAACAAACTGTTTGGTCCTGAAAGCTTGCCAACAATGCAAACCTTGCCACCAGCGAAACACACTGCAGACAGCAGCTACATTCAACTGCAATCTCTAGATTCCTTGCCCAGACACAAACATCCTGCCCGAAGTACAGTGCCATTAAAGACGCCAGCGTCTACCGGCTACGTCCGCCAAGGTGACGCTGTTATTAATAAGCACCTGAATAATATGCTATCAGGTGTTCATTGTGGCGAAGAATCGGCTATTTTGGATCCTGCAATGTCGCCTGACGCGTACTGCAGATTTTCATGGAGTACCGATCCAGCCAATGACAACATTCATTCGTTACTCGCCGATTCGCCTAGATTAAATTCATCGAAAAACGGAGTCAATCATTAGTGATATATATATATTTAATTTAGTAACCAAGATGTAAATAATTGACTTTAGGAGCTTTATAACGTGCTATAAAAATTGGACATAATATTATTTTACATTTGGGAATGAATGTGTCTAGTGATAATTCTTGTGCCTTATTAATTTATTTTAGGTGATCATAGGAAGCTTTATAGGTAAGAGTCATATGTTTAAAAACAGGAGAATTTAAAGCGGTTTTAACAGAATCTTATGGACTAATTGGTTTGTTACAGATCTTGATATAAAGTATTCGCTAAACAAAGATTAATTATGGAAGGTATTTACAAAATTAATCTTGTGCCAAGCGACTTGAGCACTGAAGAAGCCATCCTTCAGATTGCTGACACTATTGATAATCTCAATGGGATAGTGGAAGACGTGTTCTCTCGCTTAACGCGGCGAATCAAGCAGAATGTAGATAAAACCGCAAAATTGAATGAACGCATCGAAAACTCTAGGCTTAAAGTTGAAAAACTGACTGGAATGCAGAGAGCCATCAAAGTGTTCTCGAGTGCAAAGTACCCGTCGTCAATAACGCACGAGCATTATCGATCCGTCTTTGATTTGGAAGGCTATCAACATGTGCCTAAAAATGTTAAACTGAGTGCTAAAACTCGGGGGCCATCTGATGATAAAAGAATACAGGTAAGAACGCTTGTCTTTGTCGAAATAATGTTCGTTCAAAATTTCGAGTCATAATTGTTATTGTCATTAATTGATCTCATAGGAGAAGCTACACTTCTATCATGTTAAAGTTGCGGAACCTAATTCACTCAAGCCCGATGAAGATTTTAGTTTGAACGCTGTTATTGATAACCTGGAAACCATCGGTGAACTTTTAGTATTTAACACCGATGAAAGCCCTTACTTCGGTGTTACCTCTAAAACACCAACCTACAAACCGGTCATCAAGAAATCGAATATTGAAAATAAGAGTCTAATAGAAGCGGCACCTTCGTCTATAATGAAGAAAGACGTCTTGAAGCGCGAAGTAGACGAATACATGTACGCACCCGGGATGGGAATGGTAAGTGAAAGTAGCAAATGTTATTCGGTTGATGGATGCTATGACAAATCGGAGCGTTTTATAACACTATAAAAATTAAACAGGTACCCGAAATGGAGATGCCGTTGGATTTACCGCATCTTCCAGGAATCGCTGAGGACATACAATATACTATCGCGACTGAAGGGTCTATAGCCCCGTCTGTCGTGACGTCACCGGTCACGCCGATCATCGCCATTCCTGAGGTGGAATTACCAGAGTTGCCCGATCTAAAGGAACTACCTGACGTGAAACCAGAGCCCGTGGCTATACCAGATATACCGGACGCTTCTGCGTCACCGGTTCCTGTTAGTGTGCAAGCGTTGCCGCCCCCGCCACCGCCCCCGCCACCGCCTCCGCCCCCGCCGCCGCCTATGAAGGAAGTAGAGCTCACACCATCAAAACGGTAAGATTTCTCATATTTGATTAATTTAATCTGGGACAAAAGAACACTTTTGCATACAAATTTCGAGTATTGATGAGGATAATCGTGTACATACTTACCAAACTTATTTTATTTGTTGCGCAACTTTAGGAAATGTTCGACCTCTTTCAAAGTTTTTGCATGATATTGCGGCCCTTCATAAAACTAAAAGCGGGGGCTACAGGACTCTCAGGTTGAGAAACAGTGTACAAGACAATTCTAAAGCAATAAAAACCGTGGAAGCGCAACGTTTTTTGCGTTATTTTACCGTTGATGCTAACAAACCGTGTTGTATTTTAACCTTTGACGGGCCACCGTAATTGTATTAATTACTTACATACACGCGCCATACAACGGATCGATCCATTGAAATTGTGTACACAGTAAACACAACAAAAACATTAAGATTAATTTGAATGTCCATATATTTATCTCTCTCTCTCCTTGACCCTTCGGTCATTTGTGTGAAATCTGATTGGTTATATCATTAATAACAATATTTCTAAAAACTACAAAATTTGACCATGTGTATTATTATAAATCCTGTGATTATTTTTATATAACTAATGTGTGCCAATAAAGTTAAACAATCCCAGGTCCAATTTTCCAAGTAAGTAATCGGTTTGCAGTTGGGTTATATTACCTATTTAACGCGGCGGGCTTCGTTGTGTGAGTCTTTTTAAGTCAACCCTACATACGGCCATGAGCTTCTCAAGTTTGCCACTTCTTTTTAGCACTGTGCTCAAAGTCCTTTAGTACCCCAAAGATGGTAGCGTACAAAATAACCTTAGTACGATGAGCCAAGGAATGTTCAGTATTTTTTCTTCAGAATCGTATCTCGAAGGCGTTAATGCAGACCATGTCTGCTTTCTTAATGATCCATGTCTCACCGCCATACAGGAATATTAAGAACTTGAGAGTTTGTACATGCTTAGTACTTGGATCGTGAGATGCATCTTAACTTTGTGTAGCGTGGGAGATAGGGCCAGTATTCGATAGTTTCTCTATATTCTTCATGGTCTTTTGTGTGCGTTTTTGTGTTGGGGATGGGGTGAGGCGGTTNCAGACCATGTCTGCTTTCTTAATGATCCATGTCTCACCGCCATACAGGAATATTAAGAACTTGAGAGTTTGTACATGCTTAGTACTTGGATCGTGAGATGCATCTTAACTTTGTGTAGCGTGGGAGATAGGGCCAGTATTCGATAGTTTCTCTATATTCTTCATGGTCTTTTGTGTGCGTTTTTGTGTTGGGGATGGGGTGAGGCGGTTATATGATAGGTACCACTATCCTATCTATTTCTTCCGAAAAGCAATCATGCATTTTCGGGATGCAGAATGTGGTACACGTTAGTCGCATTAGAGTCGACAATGTAGTTATTTGCACGTAATTATACAAACTAGGGGTCCCGCAGTAGTCGAAATTCGACTATAATTAATTGAAATTATAAGTTTCAACATTATTATGGTCCTATTGTTACAGATTTTGCCAAGACTACACTATAGGCAAATATTCGTAATATTAAAGATAAACAATACTAACCTATTTTCAATTTGACTACAGACTTTAAGCAATAACAAAAGTTTGACAATACTTCAGTGCAATAAACAAAGAGTATATGTGCGTGTGTGTCAAATACACAGCAGTGTGTGTAATGTTTTCTTTATTGATTTAATGTATCTTTTATGCATATTTTTTTTTAAATATTAGCATTGTGCACTTCTTCTCTATATTCTCTATAAGTGGGGAAAATTTCATACTCCTCCGTCCGCGCAATTTTCGTAAAAAGGGATACAAAGTTTTTGCTTCGCGTATTAATATATAGATGCGATATAGAATTAACAATGGAATCCAACACTTGACATTCAGAACGGTTTAATTCTGTGCAAGAAATTACGACTTGTGAAGGAGATAAATGCAGGTGTACCTGTATTATTGTTTGACTTCATACGTTGCTTTACCAAGAATATGAAATTTAGAATCCATTAATTATTAGATTTTTTTAAACAGTGACTTTATCTGGTTACTGTATGAAGTATTAATACCTAAAAAGAATATCCCAGGAGAGGAAAATGTCGGACGTTCAAATAAAGAAGACAAAGTTCGTAGTGCAAGAAAAGGTCGTCCGAAGAAGACATGAATGGAGCGTAAGAATGACGATATGAGAGAGAGACAGGACTGAGTGTTGAGATGATGGCTGATAGAAGAGCATGGAAGAGAAACTACTGGTGGTAGGACCTCTTATGAGTCCGCGCGGTAGGTACCGCCACCCTGCCTATTTCTGCCGTGAAGCAGTAATGCGTTTCGGTTTGAAGGGCGGGGCAGCCGTTGACCGTTGTAACTACCTATATACTTGAGACCTTAGAACTGATATCTCAAGGTGGGTGGCGCATTTATGTCGTAGATGTCTATGGGCTCCAGTAACCACTTAACACCAGGTGGACTCGTCCACCTAATTAAGCAATAAAAAAAAAATTGCTGTGCCGACCCCACCTAGTGGGATAAGGTGATGAAAAAGAAGAAGAAGTAATAAAGATGACAAAGTTCATGATTGAATGAATGTGAATAAATCATTTGGACTCCAGATTACTTAATTAAAATCTAGATTTAATCTTAATTCATTGTACACTTGTACATGAGGCCTAAGCTTCCGACGATGGGTTCACGTCCCTCAAGAATTTTCGCTGCGTCAACAATACGACCACAGAGACGAAACCGTTGAAATATCTACATAAAATAACGATGATGGACTATAGTGTTTCAGTACCAAATAAATGACGTCAGAATTGTTTGTGGCTAAAATGTGGATTTTGGTGGACATCTGTCAAATTCTAGGAAAGTTCATCATCACGTCAAGATGTCGACGATAATGAACGATGTTATTTCATTTTCATAACCAGACCAAAAAAAAAGTCTACTTAACGTCCCTACAAAAAAGTTTGGTATCTTTTAGTTTCTCCAAAGCTGGGATCAAACGTTAAAGTTGTAGCGTGTGTTGATATACCTGAAGTTTTTGTCTTAACACAAATCTTGGTACATCTGTGCGAGACTTTTTTTTTTTTTTTCCTAAACTTGGACAAACATTGCCCTGCTTACATGCCGCATATTTTTGTATATTAGGAGACGAACAAGTCATTTAAATCTTACCGTTTTCGATTTCATTAATTTTGTCAATGTTGAGAGCATATCTATAAAGATATTTTGATGTAAAGGTGAGTTACGAACTAAATCTAAATGTAGCTGAGATTTTTATGCTATGTTTTAATATAATATACAGCATAATATGTATGCTGTATATTATATGTATTATAACATATTAGTGAAGGATAAAAAAAAAAAGAGAATTTGGAACTTGAAGGTGATTAAATCCAACAAGAATATTAAGTAATTTTAGAGATATGTGATATATTTGATAGCACTCGGTTAAGCGACAATAAATCTTATTGAAATTCTTGAATCTGAACCTTGAACGTCTCTCCTTACTGAATACTGAATGCTCCGCACTGAACCAAACTTTCAACATACGTTAATCGGCATGGATTTGGCCGGTCTTAATTATTTTATTATCGAATACCTTCTCACTTTGACACTTTCATTTATTTAGTATTTGATTGGCTTAAATTCATTTAGAAAGAGCAGCACTGAGCGTTCCTCGCATTCACGGACGTCAAAGTACGTTGCGAACTAAAAACGACAAAAAAAAAACGCCAGAAAAGTGCGTAATTCATTTAGACTTGTGCTAATTAAAAAGATCGTTAATATATACAATTAATGTCTCATGTACTTTTCTATGGTTGTAGGTACATATGCGTTGTTCGAAGTGAGCGTGTGAAAACTGTGATACGTTTTAAACTCTATAATTAATTATTCATTGAATACGAAATTAGATTGAGAAACATGCAAAAGTGTTTTTGTGGTGACACGAGTAAGAACGGTTCGGTCCATTTCTGTAGCTTATGTGCTATTTTTGTAAAAAGACGGTTTAATTAAAACAAACAATTATGCTTTATAATTATAACGACTGTATTTTTAGCGTACAGTCTGACATGTTATGAATGACTTTGATATTCATAAGTAAAATAGCCATTGAAGCTATCCTTCTTTTATCTAGCACGATTTTTATTACTTTATCCCGTTTGTGTCCAACGAAATCATTGAACGTAATTTGACTCACTTCAAAATGACTGCTTAATAAATTTAGCTCAATTACCAAATACCGATGAAAATACAATAATTCAATAAGTTGGTTTATCCTATAATAATAATATAGTTTCTACTTTTTGTTTCTACTAGCTACAAAAGCGTCTTTTTATGTCATTAGACTAAAATTGTTAATTTAACTAAATAATTTCGGAAAGGCTGACTTCATTGCACAGGTTAACGATACTCTAATCATTACTCAATAAATAGATCCTTTAACTATTGCTGTTTTGTCATAGGAATACAAACAGTTATCATTTTCACGACTACTCCAACCTTTAAAATAAAACACATGGTATTTAAACAAGAATTAACTTTTTGGGTAATAGAAGCGTCATCGAAACACATTTTTATTTTGATTAGAACGTATCTCATTACTTTTGTATAAACTAACACAAACAATATAATATGAAAATCAACAAAACCATTAAACTTGGAACGTAGAGACGTCCTTTAATTAGCTTGGGCGTTCGTCGCACGAACTTAAAGTTAACCTGAAATATGAAACTATAACAGGGTTGGCGGGTCAATAAAACCTTACTTTACGAAAAATAAATAATATATCGTATCAATGTTTTGTTTTAAGTGTTATTCGAATGAGATTAACATTAGTGTGACTACTGTTATTTCAGATTAGATGACAAATAAGTTTGTAAAACTCTGGTTCCAAAGCCAGTAAATAAATACACAGATTGCAGTAGTTCACTTAATTCTGTATTGCTTTATTTTTAACTCCACTTGTGCAATCTTTAGATATCTGCTCCCTACTCAATACACTGTT